AAATGGACTTAACAGATGTCTACAGAGCATTCCATGCTGCCCCTACCTACTTTATAAAACTATGATTAGGAAAAAAGAAAATCTGGAGCACTGGGTGGCTTAGTAGGTTAAGCTTGATTTCCACTCAGGTCACCATTTCAAGGCCCTGAGATTGAGCCCTGTGTCCAGGTTCTGCTGGGGCATGGAGCTGCTTGAGATTCTCTCTCTCCCCCTCAGCCACTCCCCCACCTTAACCCCACTCCCACTTGGGTGCTCTCTCGTTCTTTCTGAAAAAAAGAGGGGCACCTCGGTTGGCTCAGTTAAGTCTGCTTTCAGCTCAGGTCATGATCTCCAGGTCCTAGGACTGAGTCCCACATCAGGCTTCCTGCTCAGCAGGGAGCCTGCTTCACTCTCTCTCCCTCTTTCTCCCCCTCTGCCCCTCCCTATCACTCGTTCTCTCTCTCAAATAAATGAAATCTTAAAAAAAAAGTAAAAAAGAAAATCTGAATACTTTATTACAGACTCTTCCACGTACAGAAAAGCATATTTTCATAGCATCTCTAAACGAAAAGTGATTCAAGAAACTAGTACAAGTTCATTTTTTAGTATAAAAACAAATAACTTGCTCAAAGACATACAACTACCTAGGGTCTAAGCCAGAACCAGCAGTCTCAGGAAACTACAGGCAGGAACAGAGTAACCCCACTGGGACAACAATAGATTAGATTATGTCCCAATCCAGATTCCTGCCTACTCTACTTTGAGGATTACTTAATAAGAAAGAAAAAATAACTTTTTCAGGACATTTACACAACTTTAGTTAATCCACATAATTTTCTAAATGGGATCATTTCAGAAAGTAAGAGGGAAGGAGAGGAATGCATTAAGGAGGGTGAAGGAGTAAGTACAGCCAAGGATTTATGGATCCTGTTGGCTAGGGAAATCAAAGAGAATTGCTAACTCTTTCTCATATTTATATTAATGTATATTTCTTTCTTTTCTCCTCTTTTTTTTTTTTTTTTTTTTTTTTTTTAAGCACACTATAGCCACATGGTTTCCTCCCATTCAAGTACTAACCAGGCCCAAACTGCTTTAGCTTCTGAGATCAGATGAGGTCAGGCACATTCAGGGTGGTATGGCCAAATACTAGCAGCATGGTCATCTGCTAAAAGAGTGACTTCCATTTTTTTTTTCCTCAAAAAGTGACTTTACAAAGCTATACAAAACAAAATTAATTTCTCTAATACTTACCAGTTAGAAAGAGCCTGCAAAGCCGCATTCATATAACAAGTATTTCCAATATTTTTCAAACCTGTAAGACCTATTAAGAAAAATCATAAATTGTGTCATCATTCAATAATCCAATGACCTAATTTTATAAACATTTACTGAATATATGGTACTTATTATGGTTCCCAAACTATGTTAAGAAAATACAAAATAGTGCCTGGCTGGCTTAATCAGTAGAACGTGCAACTCTTGATCTTGGGGTTGTGAGTTTGATCCCCAAAATAGATGTAGAGATTACTCAAAAATTTTTAAAAAAAACATTATGGAAATACAAAATAACAACTCAGAGGTCAGGCTTATACTGCACTGTTAATTTTCAGGTAATTATTTAAATATACATTTAAAACATTAAAATTCCCTTGTATCAATTACAAAACACAAAATTTCTACTATATTATATACAGTTAGTTTATACAAAGAATTGCAGTGTCAGAAAAGTGATGTCAGAAAAACCAAGCATCACTCAAAGCTGTCCATCTGCTTTCCTTGCAAATACAATTTTATTAGGCCAAATTTTAGATTTTTCTTTTTTTGGTCATCAACATCTATAGAGTCCCTTTAAAATTTTCTCAAGTTTAAAATTTTCACATTACACAGTTTCCTAAAGAAACGGGCAGTGCCATACAAAGAAGCCTTACACAGGAGAATTAATTTACCTCTTGCCTTAAGTTCATCTTCTTCTTCTACTTCTATGTCCAAATCATCAAATACAGCAACCAGAGGAGTTTTTAATGTTGTATTACTAGGTATTTTAAAATCCTTGATAACAGAAAAGACAGCAGACTTGAAAAAAAATCCTTTATGTTAAAAAAAAATTATGTATCTCCTATACATCTACAGTCTAAAAATTAAGAGAAGTTATTCTAAAACTATTAAGAACAAACTCTGATACCACAAATCAGAATAAAATTTAATTACATCTTGAAAATAATAAGGATCTATACTAGGTAAGACCATGTCACTCTATATTAAAATACATACTTGAATAACAAAGCCACTTGTGACTTTTCTGAATTTAAACACAATTAACTCAATTCAGTGAATTCCAATCCAATTCAGTGATACCACATTACAGCTAAAAAAAATCTTTTTTTTTTTTTTTAGGTTCACTGAACATTTATTTGCCTTTGTGTTCTTAGTGCTTGGTGTAGGAACTGATATACACCAGTCTCTCCATCCGTGTGGGTCAAATGAATGAATGGGTGGAGAAGTAAAATTTGTCACACAGTGTAAAGAGATCACTGTGAAGAGAAGCTGTCTCCCCTTTAGCTATCCCCACCATATTGGAACCATCCCCGTACAACTGGCGTGCTCCTATAACCCTAAGTGAAAAATCATCTTTGAAGAACAAGAGCTCTCTGAAAAATTTTGAGACATCTTCTCAGTTCATCTTGTACTAGAATGCCCTGATATCATGTTTTAATTTACAGTTCCCAAAGACTTCCCTAAGATTTCTTTCCAAACTTGGGGGAGGGGGGAAGACTGATATTTGCATTGGGTTCATTTGGAGAACAGTTTTATCATTAAATAATTTGATGTCAAGATAATGACCAATACACATGTGGATAATTTTTAGGCCATAAATATGTTTGTATTTCAAGATGTAAATTTGGTTTTGATGTTTGTTTCTTCCCGGAGGCGGTTGAGTTTCCTGGTTCAGGTTGGTGTCCGGTTGTTTCAGTGCGTTACAGCTAAAAAAATCTAAGTGCATATTCTACACTGTCTTTTCAGATTTTTCTAACTTTTCACAGGAAAAAAAATACTAAACACACCAACTTATCTGTAGACTTCTACAATCTCTCCTGATACTTATTACCATACTTACTTTGCATCCTTTTGTGCATATGATAGAGCTGACTTGTTTGAAATAGTAATAAATTATTCCAAAATTAATTTCTAAGTATTGGCTTAACTCAAAGTTTACAACTGGTGATCCGTTGGTCAAATGCTAGACCATACTTAAAAACAAAAAAAAAAGACAAAACCTAACAAAAGAAAACCTCTGATGTAATATTTCTAAAATTGGGAGAGCTCATGTAAAACTCATATTATGCAAGTTCTCTTGTCACAGAAGATAGAACTACAGTGAACTCATTTAGCAACAATCAGTTAAAGGAGGAAACTACATAGCAGCATGCACTTAGCACGTGCTCTGGTTCTCCAACTTATTACAGCCTTATTCCACCTCTACAATGCATGCACATGCAGTTTTATACCAACGCACCTTATACATTTATTTTACTTTCCTGGTATCTGTAGATACTGAACATTTGAGTTAGCCCTATATTCTCAGTATAAAGACTTTAAAAAATCATTTAAAATTTTACCTCCCAGAAAAAATTTCTATTTAAAAATCTTATTAATGATGTTTGAATGATTTCCAATATTATTATTTTATAATTAATGTTCAAATGAATTGGGTTCAAATAGCATATAAATTTTATACTAAAAATACCTGTATAAATAACTTTTTTTCTTCTGAGTAATTTCTTCAACAATGGGATCAGGAAGTTGCATGAAATTAAATTCATTCCTTTTATGTGTTATAAATATATAACTCACTAGAAAATTATATTTATAGGCCATCAGAAAAATACCAGTATATTTATTCAGCCAGATTCAGCATTCATTAAGAATATGAAAACTGGAGGTGCTTGGGTGGCACAGTAGGTTGAGCTTCCAACTCTTGGTTTCAGCTCAGGTCATGATCTCATCATGGTCATGAGACTGCGCCCCAAGTCAGACTCTGCACTCAGCACAGAATCTGCTTCAGATTCTCTCTCCCTCTCTCTCTCTGAGATAAAGAAATCTTTTTAAAAAATGCAATCTGACAGAAATGGCAACAGACAACTGTTTTAACTAACTTTTCTTTAGTCAGTGATGATTATTTTGTCAATGTATTTTAATTTATATTTCTTTTTTGTGAACTATCTGCACTTATTCTTTCAACCATCTTTGAGTATTACCCTTATAAATTGTTAGCAGCTCCTTATGTGATTAAACTTTACCAGATTTCTGTTAATAATGCAAATGTTCACAAAAATCTACTTTCAAACTATGAAGGCATTCAAAAAAGACAAAAATTTCTGAATGATAAATAAATATCAATGGGAGAAACAGTAACGGTAATGTGATTTACTCACTAGAGCCATTCAACAGTGAAACTAGAAATGCACGAAGTTACACCTGATCTAAAACATAGTTTAGTTACATCATGTATATGGCAAGCAAATTTATTAGCTTAAATGTCTACCATCAAAATGTGATACGAACATAAAAGAAAAATACAAGAGTTGGTATCAAGGAAACGTATAGAAATACAATGTGATTTTTATGACACACAAGGAAAAAGATCACTAATGTATTAATTAAACCATACAGAGGAAATGAGTAGGGGAAGTTAGAAGTTGGTTCTAATTTTTTCATTTCCTTTTTCCTATTTCTTATGACTGGAAAATTCTCAAAATTAAATGATCAATTTTTGCAACCCCAGATATATTTTGGAACCAAAGATTAATGCTAAGCTTTAATATATCCTATTTGGTTTTTGATAAATTAGTACAATGTTCTTAGTAATAGAAATCCAAGTGGAGAGGGGAGAGAAATGAAGAAAAAGGGGCTGATTTAGTATCTGTGATACCCTATCAAAGAAGGCCCGCCACTTCTCCTAGAATTAGAAAGCTAAAGATATACTTTTTAAACCAGTTTTTTATGTTTTAAAAACACAACAGGTGCTTTTCCAGCTTCAGACAAGTGGGCTTCAATCTTACCACAACCTATCAATTTACAAAAGAACAATGGCCAGCCTCAGTGTTTCAACCAAGAAAAAAAGGATACATTACAGAAATTATTAAAAGTACAAATTAGGTACGTATGTTTTAAATTTCAACCAGACAGCAAATTCTGAAATCACTACCTGAAAATGTATCTTTTAATTAAATAAAGTTAGATTATTACCTGGACACTGTTTTCTTGTGTTTGGTGAAGTGGTCTTACATGAGGCAAAGGTGGCTGAGTTCCTAATTTCCTATCCAAAAATACTTCTTTGCTGCAAGCGTAACACCATACTCGGAGAGTAGTAAGGTTCACAGTTAGATAATGCTTTGTCTCCTATATAATTTCACAGGATGGGGAGAAGAGGAACCAAAATTAGATATAGTTGAAAACATTTTGAAAGATCATATACGGGGGCACCTAACTGGCTCAGTTGGAAGAGCACGGGACTCTTGATCTCAGGGTCATGAGTTCAACCCCCAAGTTGAGTGTAGAGATTATTTTTTAAAAAATAAATCAATTTTTTAAAATCACATAAGAGGGGTGCCTGGGTAGCTCAGTTGGTTAAGCTTCCAACTCTTGATTTCAGCTCAGGTCATGATTTCGGGGTCATGAGATCAAGCCCCAAATGGGGCTCTATGCTAAGTGGAATCTGCTTTTCTCCCTCTCTGTCTGCCCCTCCTCTCTCTCGAGTGCTAATAAATAAATAAATATTTTTTAAAACTCAAATAAGGGGGCGCCTGGGTAGCTCAGTGGGTTGGGTCATGATCTCAGGGTCATAAGACTGATGAGACCCGCATCGGGCTCCCTACTCAGCGAGGAGCCTGCTTCTTCCTCTTTCTGCCACTCCTCCTGCTTATGTTCTTCTCTGTTAAATAAATAAAATCTTTAAAAAATTTAAAAAAATAATGTAAGATAAGCCGCTGGCCTTTGAATAACAATATACTCAAAAGAGAAGAGTTAAAACTGGAACACTAAAAACACATTCTTCAGATAAACTGCTAAAATACAATGAATAGTAACAATATCTAAAACTAACCTAGAAATTATTCTATTGTCATTTTCTTACCACTGTTCAGCATGAAGAGAAACACAAGGTAAGACTCTACTTTGAAGTTAGCAAATAAATATAAGAAAATAATTGACAAAGGCACAGTAACTATTCTAGAAGATCAGAGTGGCAGAGCAATGAGCCCAATCAATCACATGAATCAAAGCAAAATACAGCTTAAGTAATAGTGAATGTATGATCTTGGATATGTAAAACTCCAACCTTTCTAAACTAGAGTTCTTTCAGATAATTTATGGCCTACAGAAAATTATTTTATTAACTATTTTCTCAATTCCCCTAAAAATGGTACATAGCATCGCCTTTTAGATGCACAAAAGACAAGTAAATTATGCACAATGATACCTGAGGGCCTTGGGGATATTCAGGCTTAATTAATTCTCTTGAGAAACCCTGACTAAGAACAACTGATGTTAGAGAAGTATCAATTGAAAAAGACAGTTCACTCAAGAAACTTAGTTTAGAATGGGAGTTCTAACTAATACTATAAAAGAACCATGCCAGAAGTACACACATGCGCCAAACAATGAAAGTGAAGTAGAAGGCGAAGTCCGGTTAAGAGAATGTGCAGAAGGTATTACGAGTTGAGACCTGAAGTTAGCCAGGCCCTATCATAAGCAGAGGCATCCACTCTTAACTTCAATCTTCACATCTCCTAAAATTCCAGCTATCATCTTCATAAATCAGGAGGCACGCTTTTTTTTTTTTTTTTTTAAGATTTATTTATTTATTCATGATCGACATAGAGAGCGAGAGAGAGGCAGAGACACAGGAGGAGGGAGAAGCAGGCTCCATGCCAGGAGCCTGACGTGGGACTCAATCCCGGGACTCCATCCCGGGACTCCAGGATCGCACCCCGGGCCAAAGGCAGGCACTAAACCGCTGAGCCACCCAGGGATCCCCATGGAGGCACACTTCTTATATCATTACTCTGTTAATTACAACCTCAATCTAATATTGATTTTAGCAATTCCCCTCCCGACCTTTTAGAAAGTATAAGCTAAGATTTAACTCCTCTTATATGAAAAAGGGCAAAATTTTTAATTAAAACTTGAATTAGGGGGGATCCCTGGGTGGCTCAGAGGTTTAGCTCCTGCCTTTGGTCCAGGGCGCGATCCTAGAGTCCCGGGATCGAGTCCCACGTCGGGCTCCCGGCATGGAGCCTGCTTCTCCCTCTTCCTGTGTCTCTGCCTCTCGCTTTCTCTCTCTCTCTCTCTCTCTCTCTCTCTCTCTCTCTCTCTGTCTCTGTCTATCATAAATAAATAAATCTTTTAAAAAAATAAATAAAAAATAAAACTTGAATTAATAATGTCGTATTTGCTTTCCCCTTCCTTCAGACTCTCTTTAAAAAATATACTGCATGAACGGACACCTGGGTGGCACAGCGGTTGAGCGTCTGCCTTTGGCTCAGGGCGTGATCCCAGGGTCCTGGGATGGAGTCCCACATCAGACTACCTGCAGGGAGCCTGCTTCTCCCTCTGCCTATGTCTCTGCCTCTCTCTCTCTGTCTCTCATGAATAAAAAAATAAAATCTTTAAAAATATATATATATTTATTGCATGAAAATTTTCTGTACACTGGGTGATATATGGAATTGTTGAATCACTATACTATACACCTGAAACTAATATAACACTGTATGTTAACTAACTGGAATTAAAAAAAAAACTCAAAAAGCAAGCAAGGAAATAAATACATAAATAGAAAAAAATTTCAATATCATACCTGAGAGTGTATAGTGCTGTGATCTACTTGTGACTCACCACAACCAACATATGAACATCTATTCTATAAAGAATTATACAAAAAGAAAAATAAGGCAAAGGCATTTATAACATGTGTAAATGTACAATAACATTGCAATTACAATTATAATTAAGTTCTAATCACACATTTTAACTTAATGACTGATTAACCATGGTCCGTTATCTTAACCAAAAGGTTAAAGCAGAAGAATAATGAGAATGTTTCAAAGCTATAAGTTATGTCACCTCTAATAAAAGGAAAGCATAAAATATTTTAAGAAACTAAAACTCTGCAAAAGCACTGCAAGTTAGAAATCAAAGTTTACAATTTAATTTTTGTTATCAGTAATGATCTTTTTCAAATATATTCATTTGTAAAATCCTTTAAGTGTAAAAAAAAAATCTTAGATTTACCCTTATTCAGGTATAAATTTTTATAATACTAAACTTTTGAAAAGAAACATATACATACTTCGAGGCATGCCCAAAGATTTGGTCCTCTGACTTTACAATCCTGACAAGTACCCTATGAAACAAAAATCACATATAAATAACATTATCATTATATTGACACAGCCAAACACATACAACTGACTAGTAATATTATATTAAAAAACTGGAGCTCATGAACAGACTATCATAGTAATTTATTTAAAAATACATATTTGGGAGAAAAATGAATAATTCTTTAAGGAAGGAAAAACTCTGTATCTTACATGAGATTTTTGTATTAAGTCTTCTTTCGTTATTTCACCAACTGAATCCAAATGTGGACAATGATTTCGAAAAGCTGACATTCTGTTTAAAATTTTTTCCTGTCTCCCAAGTATTTCCAAATGAGGTAGTACCTACAGGACAAATAACCAAAAAATGTTAATTAAAAAATGCTAACTTTTTAGGTGCCTGGGTGGCTCAGTTGGTTAACTGTCTGCCTTCAGCTCAGGTCATGATCTTGGGGTCCTGGGATTGAGTCCTGCAATAGGCTCCCCTCTGCCCCCCCACCACTTGTGTGCACGCTCTAATAAATAAAATCTTAAAAAATAAAATAAAATAAAGGCTAAAAGAAAAAGCATATGCATTTACAAGTCTATCTTAGTAGAATGTTATTCAAATATACCTAGATTACTTTAATAATTTAATATTCACATTGACAATTTCTCTACAAAATTAACATTTCATTAAAATTGACATCTAAGGGATCCCTGGGTGGCTCAACAGTTTAGCACCTGCCTTCGGCCCCGGGGCATGATCCTGGGGTCCTGGGATCGAGTCCCACGTCGGGCTCCCTGCATGGAGCCTGCTCCTCCCTCTGCCTATGTCTCTGCCTCTCTATCTGTGTCCCTCATGCATAAATAAATAAAACCTTTTAAAAAAATAAAATAAAATTGACACCTATAGGGGATCCCTGGGTGGCTCAGCAGTTTGGTGCCTGCCTTTGTCTCAGGGCATGATCCTGGAGTCCTGGGATCGAGTCCCGAGTCGGGCTCCCAGCATGGAGCCTGCTTCTCCCTCCTCCTGTGTCTCTGCCTCTCTCTCTCTCTCTCTCTCTCTGTGTGTGTCTATCATAAATAATAAATAAATAAATCTATAAAAAATAAATAAAATAAAATTGACATCTATATATCAACATAAATTTGTTTCCGTATTATTTGCTACTCTTTCCCCTTTCACGTTTTAGAATATAAATAAAACGAAAAATTTAAGTTATTCAATTTAGGTACTTTTATCTTTTTTTTTTCTTTTTCTTTTTTTTTTTACGATTAACCTATAGGCTGGAATAGCAATGAAAAGGAAAAAACAGTCAAATGGAAAAATTTCTTTTCACACTAGCAGCAGTCCCTAGTGATGATATATAAATGAAATGGTCTTGTATATTAATATCAAGATAGTCACAGATCAGAATTTCTCAACGTTGGCACCACGGACACTTTGAGGCCAGATTTTTGTTGTGAGGGTTTGTCCTGTGCATTGTAAGGTGATTAGTAACATTCTTGCTTCTACCCATTAGATGCCAGAACACCCTCACCATTCTGAACTTTAACAACTACAGTATAAAATTATGTCCTAAAAGGGACAAAATCATCCCAGGTTGAAAACCACATTATCACAAGATCCTTTCAACAATCCTGAGGCAGAGCACCATTTTTAGCTTCATTGCATATAAAGTTAAAAGAGGCAAGTCTGACTGACTTCCTATTATTAGCATTTGGCAGAATGAGGATTTCAATCTACCTATGGTAAGAGCAAGATTCTGAAGTCACACAGAATTAAGGATACCTATAAGAGCAGAATGGCCTAACTTATGGGACTATTTTAAGGATTAAATGAGGTAGTACATGTCAAGTGTGTACATGCACACATATAATACTACACATACACATGCACATAAAATTTTATTAGCACTCTGCAGCATCCAATAAATATGTATATATGTGTATATATATGTACTTAAATATATAATTATAAATGTTATATAAAAATTATACATAATATATATATAATTTTTTATATGACCAGTAAGGTTTCATACCTCTCTGCTCCCTGTGAGACCACAAGTTTAGGACTCAGGTAGTTTCCCATATCAATTACAATTTTCCTAATATTCTTCAGGACTTTCCTCAATTCCATTAAAATAAACAGAAGGTAAAGTGTTTTACAATCCCAATACACTTAACTTCCTCCAAAATATCACAATATTATAAATATAATTTATGAGAAAAAGAATGATAGGAATACTATCATGTCACTAAATTTTATTTATCTCCATTGCAAATCTTATGATAGCACTAACTGATATACAGCATTCAATGCATAGAAATCTTACAATAGGTTCAAGTAAAATGAGTGATTTCCAAGTAAAAATCTTAAGTTTAATTCAGTACTTCTAGATTTTCTTTGGATGTACATCCTTAATAACAAGATTTTCATGCCCTTAGTTTATCTTTGGGGTTTGAGAACACTATTTGGGGAAAAAAATTAAGAAACTCACTAAGAAAGAATAAACACTTATAAATGTGCTAAAATATTAACACATTAGTAAAAACATTAAATAAAAAGTTTCAGTGAATTCAAAGGAGTCCAATATTATCTTGCAACTTACAAAATCCAATGGAAATCACCCTGGGGATTAATAGTAAATAAATATTAATTCCTAAACATTACCTTATTAACATAATATTAGGGACACCTGGGTGGCACAGTGATAAGTGACCAACACTTGATTTCAGCTAAGGTCATGATCTCAGGGTTATAAGATTGAGCCCTGCTTTGGGCTCTGCACTCAAAAGGAAGTCGGCTTGAGATTCTTTCCCTCCATCCCTCCCTGTGCTTGTGTATGTACACATGTGCTCTCTCTCCCTCTAAAATAATAAATATATTGTTAAACATTACATTATTACATAAGATTAAACAGCCATGTTCCAGACTTTCAGATGCATGAAATTAAGCTTAAAGTAACTGTTACTATTTTCCATTTCTCATTTATGTGTTAGGAAGAGTCTAGCAATTTTTCCCACCTCTGACTTCCCTTTGTGCTTAAATATTTCTTCCCTCTCATCCAATTACCTCTACTGCCAGCCATGATGGAGAAACAGGAAGCAGATTTATCCTCTCATTTTATATAAATAAAAAGCCAGACAAAAAATATAAAACAATGGTTACCAGACATCGGACAATAGGCAATAACTACCTACCTTACTACCTAGAAAGAACTGTTAGGCCATAGTATACTTGGGAGAAAACCCAAACAGAGTCTAGCAGTCTCCTTGGGTTGAAGGTGTAGAACTGAACATGCAGAGAGGCTAGGGTGGCTATAATTCACAAGGCAGAGTAACAGAGAGGAAAGAATTAAACACAGGGCAGGGATCCCTGGGTGGCGCAGCGGTTTGGTGCCTGCCTTTGGCCCAGGGCGCGATCCTGGGGACCCGGGATCGAATCCCACATCAGGCTCCCGGTGCATGGAGCCTGCTTCTCCCTCTGCCTGTGTCTCTGCCTCTCTCTCTCTCTCTCTGTGTGACTATCATAAATAAATAAATTAAAAAAAAAAAAACACAGGGCAAATAAACTCATGACATTTGTAGAGCACTACCATTCGGTTTTCAGCCGAGTACTGATGAGCATGTGTATATGATTACCCTAAGAAAGGGAAAAAACTACTGGAAAGGAGTAGGTAAATAATCCTCACAGCCAACATAGGTCTGTGTTCCCATCAGCAAGAGTTTAAAGCCTTCGTAATACGGAGTGAATAAAGTACTCAGAGGGTATAGCCTCAGTAGTAGGAAGAAAAGTATTCCTAGAGTGAAAACTACTTTTGTTCTACGTTTAAAAAGCTCAAAACAAGTATTACAGAGCCAAACTATTCCCAAGGCACTTAACTGTGTCCCAGAACAAAGCTAAAGATATTTAATGGAAAAAAAAAAAAAAAAAGCACCAAAAAAGATCTTTTAAATGGCAATGCCTGGCATCCAATCCAAAATTACAAGACATATACAAAAAAGAAAAATCAGATCCACAGCAAGGGAAAAAAAGAGATCGAGAGATAACACAGTTGGCAAAATAAAGGAAATACATTTTGTTATTTATTATTTGTTTTAAGTGGGCTCCACACTGGGCCTGGAGCCCAACACAGGGCTTGAACTCACAACCCTGAGATCAAGACCTGAGCTGAGATCGGGAGTCAACACTCAACCGACTGAACCACTCAGACACTCCCAAACATATACATTTTATATAATTTTTTAAAAGACTTTATTCATTCATTTATTAGAGGCAGAGAGAGAAGCAGGCTCCTAGCAGGGAGCC